GAGAGGCAGGCGCAGCCAGAGGAGCCGTGGGAGAACCTGCAGCTGCCCGGTGTGCCTGCCTCTCCTCGGCCGATCCGAATCTCTCTGAATTGGCGCTGAATCTTCCGAAGCCGATTCAGCCAAATTGATTCAGGACAGTGATCTGAATCTTCGAATCGAATCACTGTCCTCCGAACTGGCTGAATCTGAATCAAATACTTCCCTATTTGCTCAGGCCTGATATTCGTGTCTTCCAAAGCGTCCAAATTTCAGGAGAAGTAGTACGAACCAAGAACTTGTTAGCCTTCTTTTTAAATTATATTATTCCCTTAAAAGCTTGAAAGTAACATAATGTGTTGTGTTATTGCCCGCTCTCATTTGGCAACCAGCAATCTATTTTTCCTTTTTCTCTTTCTTTCTCTCTCTCTCTCTCTCTCTCTCTCTCTCTCTCTCTCAAGTTATTGGCGTAAGAGCCATCATCATCTGTTTTATTTATGACTGTGCTTGTGTTCAGGTTAATTCTGGCCTGCATCCTGTTAGTTATTCTGTAGAATATATTTCTTGTGTTAATAGCCTGTTAACTATCTGTGCTCACTTGACTAAAGGCAGACATGCAATGTTTCCCTGATTTAACACCTGTTAGTTTGTGACATGGAATAGTATTGGCTACTTTTAGAGTGGAATTATGAAAAAATATTTTAAAGAGAAATTAATAGTAGGATAGAGGAAACGAAATGCACACAACCCAGAAAATGTTTTGATGTTGAAACAATGCATTTTGCTAATAAAGACTTATCCTGACATAAATTAACAATAACTAGTAGAACCATCATTTTTATTCACTTTGATTAATAGAATTTTTGTAAAGTCTTTAATGTATCCTTAACTGAAAACCAAATAAGAGAGAGCTGAAGTAAAGAAGCTGAAGATAGTTGGTTACATAGCTGTAGAACTGAGGTAAAGTTATGCTGGTTGGAAAAATGCACTTATATAATTGATCTTTGGAACATATCCAGCAGATGTAGGATTTGATTTCGCATCCTCTTAAACCAGGGGTGACAAAGGGATGGCACCCGGAGCCCTCTGATCCAGCCCACGGTGCTTTCCATGGGCCTTGGATCAGCCCCACATGCCACATGCAGTGCGTGCGCTGACTGGTCCTACGTGATGCATGTAGCACAGGGGGCTGATCTCTTGGCCTGATTCAGCCCAGGGACTGGTTCTGCATCCCTTCTCTGACCCATGGGGATGGAGGAGTTTGATTTAAATGAAACTTCTTAGGTAGGGAAAAGACAAACCTAGTATTGGCTTAAACAAAACAGATTCAGAAAAACCTCGCTAAACACACGTTTTTGTCTGCATCGAATTTTAAATGTTGTGAAACATTAATGCAGAAGTCCAGGATTCTTTATGGGAATACCAGGCATCAGGAGGGCACTTAGTAATTTGAAAGGAATAAATCCATGAGGAATAAGTAGCCATTAACTTGAACAATAGTTTGGGGTTTTTTTTTCCTAGTGTGCCTGCAGCCTAAAATGTTAAACATTTAAAGGCATGTGTGAAGCAGACTGATTTGATTTTGCCAGGTTTCCCTTAGACCCTGATCCTACAATACTAGTGAATTCTTATGCTGGCATGAAGACCCTGGGGAGTCTAATACAATTTTGCCTGCTTTGGACACAGAAGATCTTTTTCTGTTTAATTTTGATCATTTATAAAAGACCTAACTGCATCTTTTAGATCTCAGAAATAAAATGAGCATTCTGTACAAAGGCATATTGCTTTTCAGCTTCTATTCCTTTGTTAACCAGTGTTGTCCTATGGGAAATTAATTTGTGGAATAATAATCAGGTCTTTGGGATGAAACACTGTCTATATTTGGTATCCATTCTTTTCCCTCTATGCTGTTACTGATAAATACAGGCAAAGGATTCATTACAGGGAGACCTGTGATATCAGCCCGTCAATGCTTTATTTTTCTAGATTGATGAAAATAATGAAAAAGGACATTTTGGTAATGAAAACCCATGTTTTTAATTTTTATAATAGCTCTCTAATATTAAAGTTTTTAATTTCATTATTCAGTGCTTTTTAAAAAATGAATGAGTTCCTGTCCATGACTGTAGTCCTATTTTTTTTAATTAATTATTCTTATTATGTTGATACATGCAGATACAAATTCTAAACCACTTGGGTAATGTGAAATGAATGTCATTTTTTAAAAAAAGGTTTTGACGGAACCCGTGGCGAAATGGAGGAATGTTCACGGTCATAATCTCCTGGTAAGCAGCAG